TCTCCCCAATTTTTTATTAAAAAAGCCAAAGCCAAAGTTCACATCAAGGATGATTCACTGCTCTTGGCCACAACCTAAAGTAGTTGCGACAAAAAACTTATTACATGCAACACGCTCATATATATGTTTTGATGTCTACTTTTTTTGTACACATTGTACCTTTTGTATTCACTTGAAATATATATTTATGCACATCTATTTTTAAAAAAATACATGATTAACATTTTTCTCATATATATGTTTTGATGTCTACTTCTTTCCATAGAAATTGTACATTTTTTGTATACATTAGAAATATTTTTCTATACATGTTAACATTTTTAAATGCACGATTAACGTTTTTCAATTATGTATCTAAACTGATTTTTATAATATATATATTTAGAATTATAAGCAAAGGTAAAAAAATAAAAGCAAAGCTGTGAGAAACAACCGGACCATTCCGGGCGCTGCTTGACGCGAGGCTAGACTGTGCCTCTACAAGAGAGACAGTCGCGCCCTCGCCAAGCCCGGTCCAGCATACGCCGGTGTTGTGCTAGCCCAACCTTCTAGATAGACGGTCCGCCTGTCCTGCAGGTTTTTTGTGTTCTGCCAAAAGAAGCAAGTCTTTGTGTAGATGCAGCAAGTTTGTTCACACACACGCACGCACGCACGCACGCACGCACGCACACACACACACACACACACACACACACACACACCTAAGTATAACCTTCCCTAGCGTGATGGAATGCAAATATGCAATTCTCGCAAAAAGAATGCAAATACGTAAAAAGAAATGCAAATACGCAATGCCCGGGAAAAATAAGCATCGACTAATTGGTCGCATCTTTAAATTTTAAGTTGTTTGCCACCATTTATGTGAAAAATGGTCATTATCTTGTGCTTGTTTAGTAGGATCGGTCACCAAATGCCAGTAAGACCCATTTGAGGCGCTCTGGATACTCAATCGCAGATGTACATCATCGTGTGGATTGGACCCTGGCAAAGAAAAACATGTTGTACTATGTCGCCAGTGGCGAAGGCAGACATAATTTTTAGGTGTGGCAGAGTTTACGAAGGAAAACACAGTATAATACCACTATGCAAGAGTTCATCAAAATACAAGATGTATGTTATTTTGTGTTCGGCAAGTATAACCAAGATCCAAAACTACATTTTGGTCAGGAGGTGAGCATGATGTATCGGTCAGTGGGTAAGTGGGTTTCAACAATGAGATATCACTATTTGGCTCAGCAGTAACAAAATTTCTTAAAAGTGAAGTTCAACTTCAATTTTGAATTATTTTTCATTATGTAAATGCTATTCTTCGTCGGCAGTTAATGTTTTCAACTTTCCGGAATAGTAGAAATCATGATCGCTATTATTTTGAGCAAAATGGTGATCCCTGGCTGGCCGGCTAGATCCTATGTCGCTGTTTTAATCTGTCCGTGGAGTCAAGTCTAATTCACAAACCTACTGACCGATGCATCAGGATCACCAGTAGGAAGTAATCAGGCCTAACACACGCTGAAACTTACTGTTCAAAATGCTACATGTACTAGTATATATATTAGGTGTATCTCTAGAAAAGTTTAGGTATGGCACGTCGCTGTTGAAACTAGTACTGAAACCGAGTCAATTACTGGGCATATAGGCGCAAGCGCAATAACATTCATGATTTTCATAAAGATGGAGTTTTTTTTTTTGTAAAAATGTCGGGGGAGCGAGTGTGCCACGACGCGGCCAGCGTGGCGCCAATTGCCCGCTTGTGATTGGCTTTGGACTAAATCTTCACATACATTTTTGCAAGTTTATGGACTAAACCATCACATCCATTGCAAGTTTGTGGGTCTGTTGTGCTCTTGCCTCAATTTTGAGATTTGAGATTGATGCAGCCATCATAGGCGTCTCGTATTCGACGGAAATGTTTTCTCTCATTGAACGAACATCGCCGAAAAAGTGAGCATCAATGTCAAGTTTAAAGTTGAACCCTGATGAGTTGGTTCCACCACAAGGAACCTAATAAGTTTGTTAGAAAGAAAAAGAACCTAAGAGATACACCTAATTCAAGTTTGTTAGAAAGAAAAAGAACCTAGCAAGTTTGTTTCACCACATCAATGTCAATCCGCCACATAGGACGTGGCCCCATCCTGGCCCACATTTTCTCTTTCTTTATTCATTCTTTTCTTTCTTTCTCTCTTTATCTCCACCAATCACGTGCAAGTGACCGGACATATGAGGAAGAAAATAAGGATTGTGGCTGCATGAATGGACAAATAGAAGTTCAAAGCGGACATGCCCGGTCACTGACTGAGCGCGTCCGCGGGCGTTTGACGGATCGAATTAGAGGGACGTGACTGAAGATACTCTAGCAACTTGTGCTACCCCTCGGTTTGCAACAGAAATCAACTCGAAAGAAACTGATAAACCAAAATCGGCACCAGTGTGGTACTATAAGATGGTGCTGGTCCGGTCCGGTCCGGTACGGGTGGGTAGGCGCTCATTTCTCTGGCAAGGCACGACTTGCCCCGTGTACGGGCAGGTGGGTAGGTTCGCTCACATGGACCGGCTGGCTGCCTGGCGCGCCGACGTTTGTTTGCTCAACCGGTAAGAACTCCCTGTCGCGAAAAGAAGTAGTAGAAAAGGGAGGCTCGTTCGCTGGGCAATCATCGCTGACACGCCAAAAGCGACGCTCCGCAGTCCGCACCAAACATCAAAGGAAAATGGTGTGGTGGCCATGTTTTCTAGACTTGAGAGGTTCCGTTCCTACCAAATCTCTCGTGAACGCTGTACTGACAGCAATGCCATGCATCCGCATCAGTAAAGCGGAAGCTCGCACCGGCCGGCAGGTAGGAGCGCCCGTATTTATTTCCCTGTGTGGATCGTAAGCAAAGGCGGCACCAATGGGATACCGACTCGAGCAGGTGGCCTGGAGTGGGATATGTTTCGTGGTTGCCATTTTGGCAAGGTGGACGCGACAGGCGACCGTCGGCCACCGGCCCAACGTGCGGCCGGTGTGGGAAACGTTTGCCATGCTTTGGTTTCGGCGCTTGATTGTTTCTCCTACTTCCTACTCACTTCGTTCGAAATTACTTGTCGCAGAAATGAATGTATCTATACGATTTTGAACGGAGGGAGTACGATTTATGGTTGGTGCGCAACGGGATCAGATAAACAACAAGTATACGCTCACGCCTGAAATACTTGACTTGATAGGTGGGCGCGTACATATTTTTCAAATGTTTGAATTGCTTACCACATGTGTTACGTGGTTAGGCGCGTACATTTTTATTTGCCTGAGCAGCGCACATTACTTGGCAATGGCCCTCGCTGTATATTGACACCGTATGCCTTTGGAGCAACTATTTCAATATATACTACTAACTCCGATTCATAATAAGTGTCACAGTTTTGAACTAACCACGGGTTAAAACTTGGACACTTATTTTCGATACGAGGGAGCACATCTTTGCACTGCACATGCACACAAGAGGACATTCCATCGTCTGGAACATATCCTAGAAGGCCTCGTTGGACTGTAGGATTTCATCGGAATAACGGAGGATTCAAATCTTAAGGATCTTTTTATATGAAAGCCCTTTGGATAATGGGGTAAAGACTACCAAATTTCTATAGCCCCATTCCTTAGAAATATCAGCATGAGCTCAAACCTCATTTTATTTTTCTTTGTAATAAAGTCCAATGCACTTTCACTTTATCTATCCTCTCAACCCTCTAAAATATTATCGTGTTCATTTCCCGAGCATCATCGAAATGCACCTCGCACAAAATTCCATTGCTTCAAAATCTTAGGAATTCACATTACAATTATTTTTTTGTGACAAGGAATTCACATTACATGACATCTTAATCATGCCTTTTTTCATATGGAAAATGCTAGTGCTTATCCGACCGGTTACGCGTAGCGCGCCGACCACCTTTGAGGCCGTCAGATCTGAATTGATCTCACGGCTCACAACAACCCCTTACCCATAGTCCAGATTTGCAACACGGGCCTCGTTGCAAACCCTTTTGGGTGCAACACATGGAATATTGTAAATGGTTGGAAGCAATTCGAACGACCGCAACATGGTTCATGTTCCAAAGCACCCTAGCACAACACAATCCTTGTTGCAAAGTTTGCACGTGACTAGAGATCAGACGGTTCGAATGACAGTAATACAGTTCAGGTGCATGTTGCAAAGCCCCCTAGCGCGACACGGCCCTTCTTGCAAAGGCTGCACATGTCGGGAGACCAGACGATTCAAAACGACTGCAACACGGTTTCTGTTGCAAAGCCCCCTCGCACAACACAATCCTTGTTTCAAAAGCTGTGTATGATGGGATGGAAATGGTTTGAACAACTGCATCATAGCTCGTGCCGCAAAAGCCCCTAGCAAACAAGGTCCTTGTTGCAAAGGTTGCGGCTGACACGACGGGAGAACGGTTTTCTCGTGCGCCATCTAACAACTGCCGAGGGACCGATCCAATTGAATCATCACCCGGCCGACGCATAGCATCTGCCTTTTTCATATCCCAATGTTTTTTGTTGAAACAATTTTCACATCCCAATGTTTTTGATTCCTTCATTCAATCAAAAGAAGCCTTCCTCTTTTTTTGAGGGATATAAAAGAAGCCTTACTTTTTTTTGAGGGATATAAAAGAAGCCTTACTTAGACATGGCCCTCCTGCAAAAAAAACCTTGGCACGGCCCAGCATACCCGAAGGCCCAAGCCCAACTACCGCCTCATCCCCCTCCCTCTCACAACTCCCGCACGGCCTGCAACCGGCCAGCTAACCCTAGTAGCCGCCCGCACGCCGGCCACCCCGCGATACCCCCGAACTGAAACTCGGCGACGGCGGCCCGCATTCCCGCGTCTCCGACCACCACCGGCCCCTAAACTATTTATCCCACAGACAAAAAAGAGGCAAAATTTTGGCACCCCGACCGTCCTACTAGGGTTTTAGAGCGAACATCCCCGGCGGCGCAGCCCGAACTCTTCCCCCCTCCCGCGGCGATGCGCCAGCACGCCCCCGCCTACACGCCGGAGGCGGCCTCCGCGTCCGCCACGGGCGGCGCGGGCGAGCGGCACAGCCTCCCGGCGCTGCAGGCCAAGATGAAGCGCGACCCGGAGGGGTACGAGACGGAGCTCCGCCAGCTGCAGCGCCACTTCGAGTCCTCGGTGTTCCTCTTCCGCCAGCAGTCCGCGCTGTCCTCGTCCTCCTCGGGCGGCGGCGGCGGCGGGGAGACGGCCAAGGAGCTCGGCGACCTCGCGCTCTTCCTCGCCCACGTCGCGCCCTTCTACCCCAACGACCTCGCCGACCTGCCCGACCAGATCGGGGGCCTGCTCGACACCAACGCCCGCGCGCTGCCGTCCGGCCTCCGGGTGCACCTCGTGCAGGCGCTCATACTGCTGGTCAATCGGAAGGTGAGCTCCTGTTCAACTCATTACCTGCCTTCAGATAGAAATTTATCTGGTAAATTGGTGGGCTAGATGGGATACTGAGCTATTGGTACGAATTATTGTTCAAATTCATTGACACGGGGTCTGTTTGTCGTGGTCAAGGTTTAGTTGAGATGATTTTTCTGCTAGTACATTGGGAAAATGTTCTGTTTCAGTTTTGTTGTGTCGGATTTACTAGGTTTTGCTTCTTATAACCACACAGAAGATTTGTGCCTGTTGGTTACATTAGGATAGCAGCAAATTAGGCTGATGGGCGTTGCATTGTCCAGGAATTCATTTATTTTTGTTGAACAAAAGGGGTTTCCCCCCGCCTAATTTTCATTAAAACGGGGCAACGAAGCCAAAAACTACACTGTTCGCAGCACTCGGGCTCATCAAGCCAAAGTTACTGAGCCAGAGAAACCCCAACCCCCACACATGCGCCCCATCAGGCTGTGAAAGGAGGGAGCAAAAAAGTTCACAGCAGAGCAGGAAGGAAAAGTTAAGTTAGGCTAAACTTATTACAGCATTTTTACATCAGCATTCAGCTGGAATGGACTCTCAAACCAATGCCTCCGCACTTTCTTCTCGCCCACCAGATTCTTCATCTCCAGGCAATCCTCAGGAGTTATCTTCTTGCCCGATCGAGGAGTAAGAGACATCTCTGCAGTATCACCGATTGATCGTCCATGCACAGGATTTTCCATTGATGTATCATGGCACTCACACGCCCCAGCAGATTTTGGATACTTGTCCACACTGTACCCTGGAAACAAATATCATTTCGCATTGTCCATAAGTCCAGATAACAGCAGCACAGGCTATATTAACCCCATATTATTGTCAATACACCATAGATCAGCCAATTCAAACATACTAAAGGGAATTTGAAAGTCGAAACCTAGGATACTACGATAAATCATCGTCCAGGAATTCATTCATACTGATACAATGATAATGCAATGGCTGAAGCCTAGGATAAATCATCTCAACGGAAAGTTTTGAACTTTGACCTGAACTGTAATCAGCACTGTTCCCAGAGTATATGGTCTTAGTTTTCTTCCTTCTAAATTTAATGGTCTATCAGCCCCATTAGGAAGTGTAACCGGACGGCGAGTCCGTGATTGTCTGGCTGTCATCTTTAAAATTTAAGGGCCTCTGGGTCGCAGTGGAGTTTCTAGATGTGTTTTTTATTTGGTAACGGAGGACTAGAGAGTGGATTATTACCGAATGAAGAGCTTTTTTTCTTTGCCTTGTAGAGTTCAGTTTTGCAACCTTATATCATTGTAATCTTTTGTTAATTAAATGTTTAGATTGTTGATCTGGAAGACACCATGGAGTTATTTATGGAGCTTCAAGTCATTGGAGATCGAGCAGTAAAAAAGCTTGCATTTTCACATATTGTACACAGCATCAGAAGGATGAATCAGAAGCACAAGAATGAAGCCAAGAATCGCAAACTGCAAGGCATCCTTTTTAAATTAGTACAGGTTTGCAACATCTTACACTTGGTTTGATAAGAATTATTGCGCTTAACATTGTAGCTGGTAAGCATACACTTGAGACCGTTTCCCACCTTATCTGATTATGTCCTGTTTCTCAGGGCGAGGAAGAGTCGAGAGCAAAGAGGGCTTTTACTATCCTATGTGATCTTCACCGTCGAAGGGTCTGGTTTGATGACCGCACAGCAAATGCTATATGCGATGCTTGTTTCCATCCTTCTTCGAGGTGCATTTTTGTAAGGAAATGTAGGTGTCTGCTGTTGGTTGCTTCCCATCTAAACAAGTGTATTCTACATGCAGGCTTATGACAGCTGCTATTTCATTGCTCATTGGGTATGAAAATGTTGAGCAAGAGGATGATAGTGATGCCAGCAGTGACGATGAAGCGATTCAAAACCCAAATATTATACTTAGTAAAGAGGATGTTTACAAGGTGATTTGGATGTTTCTGCATATTGGCGCTGTATTGATAGTATTTTAGATCTTATGGTTTCATTTGTCTCTTCTGATGCATTGTGTCTTTTCTTGATTTTTTTCCACAGGCAAATCACAAGGGTACCTCTGCTAGTAAGAAAAAGAAGAAAGCTAAATTGGAGCGTGTAGTTCGTAGTATGAAAAGGCAACAACGTAAATCCAATGAGGAGACTGGCTCCAATTACTATTCACCCCTTACGTATTTAAAGGATCCCCAGGTAGAGTAACATCATAAATTTTCAAGCTGTTGTCATTGTCACAATAAAATGAGATGCCACATCCACTTCTTGCTGTTGATGAGATAATCTTCTATTATGCTGAAACTCCTTTTGGGGCTCTTACAGGGTTTTGCAGAGAAACTCTTCTCTCGGCTACAGAAATGCAATGAACGATTCGAGGTTTGTCTTATTATTCCTATATCTAATATTCATTCATGCTGCTGTACTGTTCTTTTGTATGTTGACACGGTTTACTCAGTTACACAGTGACCATTCTCTACTATGCAAATATGTTCACTCATATTTCATGATGAACGTATTATATCAATTTGGTGTCATAGATGTCTGTAATTTCTTATGTTGATGGTCAATCTTTGAAAGTTCGCTGACGCAGATTCTAACATTACTTGTATTATGACATGAGTAAGAACAAGTCTCAAAGTAGGAGAATACGGACTTAAATCTCAATTATTAAATTGTGTACAGCAAGACCGGTTGGTCAGCTCACTAGGCGGTTAAAGGGTAATCTACATGGGTGTAATTATTAGAAGTGTTCTCTGAAAATAAAACCAAAAAAGGTTGCTTTAGATGGTTGGTGTGAGCTAGTTTTCGTCCAATGGTTAAGATCGTTAAATCCTGTTCTTCTGATTATTCGGCTTGTTCTGACTTGATATGCTTGCTATCATATCAACCTTTTCCACATTTAGTATGCGATTGCATGCTCTTCTGTAGCGTAGGTTTCTGCCACTTTTTTTAGTAAACACGAACCATACAGTATAAAGGAAAACCATTGCATGTGCAGGTAAGGATGATGATGTTGAAGGTGATAGCAAGGACTATTGGGCTGCATCACTTGGTTTTGTTGAACTTCTATCCATATCTTCAGAGATATGTTCAAGTATGTTACTTAACTGAGAGTATGCCTAGCTTGCATCAGCCTTTGAAAAATTGCTAGTTTTATTCTATGCTGATATGGTCATAATATTTTTCACCCTTATGCAATGCAGCCTCATCAACGTGATGTGACCACTCTACTTGCTGCAGCAGTACAGGCTTGCCATGAGATGGTTAGACTAGACACTGCACTTTTCCTCTGTATTTGTAGCCAATGCTGTTGCTTCTCTGGATATATTTGAAACACAACAAAATTAATTTGTTTCGATTGCAGGTGCCTCCTGATGCTGTTGAACCGCTGTTCAAGCAGATAGTAAATCAATTTGTGCATGATCGTTCCCGTCCGGAGGTTTGCATGACTCGCTTATTCATCTTTTGTACTGTGTGTTTTCCTGACTAACATGAGCATATGTGTAACTAACTCACTCCTTTTAGGCTATTGCTGTTGGCCTGAATGTTGTGAGAGAGATCTGCATGCGAATTCCATTGGTACTTAACTTGCTCTTCTCTGACATCTCAATTAGTGCATTTACATGGTTTGCAGTGCTACCTTAAATCATGACCTAGAATCATTATGCTGGTCATGTTGCATATGTTTTCCACCTTGTACCCTTGGGAACACATATGATTATACCATTGTGGTAGTTAAATCATAAATTTTGTTTGTAGACTCGTGGATGGTAGACTGAAAAGATTGTGATAGTTGTGTAACTACAAGTTTTAAGCATAACTAAATGAAGATGCATAAATTTGGCTATACTTGGCCATGCTTAGTTTATTTTGTTTTGTACTATTCTACCTTTATTGTCGATCTTATGTTTGGGAAGTTTCATTGATGCTGTTCTTTTTATGCATGTAAAATACACATGCAGTCTTGCATACCTTGTGTCCTAGTGCTCTATGGATTCTAGAATGCACAGGAAGATAATCTTGGTTCGTTTACTCACCTAAGTTTCCTTGATTCTTTCTATAAATCTGCAGATGATGAATGAGGATCTACTCCAAGACCTTGTTTTATATAAGAAGTCCCACGAGAAAGCTGTTTCTATTGCCGCTCGCTCACTTATCACATTATTCAGGGAGGTCAGATATTTTCTTGCAGATTCTGTGTCTGTTTTGGCATCTACAGTTCTGCTTCACTCAGCTAAACCTACTTTTGTTCTGAATTCAGATCTGTCCTTCATTGTTAGTCAAGAAAGACCGTGGTCGTCCTATTGATCCAACTGCTCGGCCAAAAGCATTTGGAGAAACCACTATTGCTAGTGATGTGCCTGGAGCTGAGTTGCTAGATGAAGAGATGTCACCAGAAGGGGGTTCAGACGACGAGTCTGATGCTTTTGATTCTGATGACGAGGAAGTGTTGCCATCTGCGAGTGGTACCCAACAAAGTTTGGAGAGTTTATCAAACAAGCTTGATGCCAGTGAAGATCATGAAGATGAAGTATCTGGGGAACAAGATGATGCAGAGGAACTAGACGAGGATGATAGTGATGACGATATGGATGAACTAGATGACGACTCTGACGTGGATGGTGATACTGATGTGTCTGATGAGGATGAAGATGAGGAGCTCAATGACGATTCAGAGAATGAAGACTCGGACCAGGAGGTTGAAGACAGTGATGAGGAGGATAAATCAAAGGGCAGCGGTTCCAAGGTGCAGAAGAGAAAGTTAAGTGATTATATTGGACAACTTGATGCTGCAGATGCAAGCCTTCGAGCTCTGAAGAAGTTAGCAGGAGCTAAGAAGGCTGAAGCCTCAACCGATGAAGCTGGCAGAATTTTTGGCGACGAAGATTTTAAGCGCATAAAAGAGCTCAAGGTATGTGAATTTCGCATAGCTTCTCTACTTCTGTTATACATTCATTCATTGTGTTTCACGCTTAGAGTACCTACTCTTGTTCAAAACTAAAATTACTGTTAAGCAAACATTTTACTGAAAGTGTATGAGTTTCAGGCAAAGAAAGCAGCAAAGTTGGCTTTGGTTCAACATGGGCTCAGCAAGGGTGACACAAGATCAGTGACCTTCAAACTTCCTTCTACTGATGAGCTTAGCTTGAAGCGCGTTGATCCATCGGAGCTTGCGGTATCCTCTCGCTCCCCGCACACAAAAATCACATACATTTTATCTATATAAACTATTCTTCCCCACCGACCGCACGCGCAAAAGCACATACGCTTGACCTATATAAACTATTTATGCAGGCTCACGTCAAACGAAAGATGACCAAGGAAGAGAGATTAGAGATGGTGAAAGCTGGAAGGGAGGATAGAGGAAAATACCAAGCAAGAGCAGCTATTAAACAGAAAAAGGTAACCTGAGAACCTTATTCCCTTGTTTTACCCCTTGCTACTACGTGTTCGCGGCTTGTGAAAATGTGATCTTGTGCCATTCCAGATACGCTATCATGTCTTAGCTTTCTCTTCTGGGGATTTTGTGATCTTCCGTTCCTTGTCTGATCACTTTCTTTTTGGTGTGTGTTAGACGGGTGGCTCGAGCAATAAGCAGAAACAGCACCAGAAGAGGATGCCTCTGGCGGCAAAGAGAGCAAAGGCAGCCCGTTCTCGGCAGGAGAAGAAGACCAAAGCGAAGCACTCAGGAAAGCAGTTCAGGGGAAGGAAAGCCTGGAAATAAGGAGGGCTCGTGTTTTCTTCTTTGCAATTGGTGCCTGGAAATTTTGACTGTCTCGAGGATATTGTGTCTGATATGTTTACATATGATATGCAGTTTACAGCAAGGCCGTTTTTTTTTCCGGGGAAAGAATGGAGCCAATAGTTTCTTCTCGTTGGAGGATTTAGCCAACGAATTCTTGAACGTTTTTGCTCGATGAGTCCTCTGAATCCCGCTAATAGAACTGGCCTAAAAATTTACTAACCTCTGTTGACGTTTTTGTAGTTCAATTTGAACTGCAAAAACGTGTTATATTTATGAACAGAGGGAATACATTACATAGTACCGGTATATTTGAACCGAACATGACATGCACGAGGGGATATCCAGAACATGCCATGATTCGAGTGCCTTTCTCATTGCTCCTGGCAGCATTTAATTAAAATGTTGTCTCCTGACTCTGCATGTGCAGCATTTTGGTGGAGGGAGATGTATGGTGCCAAAAGCCGCCGGCGCAAAACGAAGGGGCGTTTCTCAAAACAAAGCAAAAGATGTTGCTGGCCAGCGATACATATGAATCATAACTGTAAATATAGATGATTTTTGTTGTTGCGGGGAAGGAGTAAATGTGATAAACGACGACAATGTATGCGAAGAAAGAGACTAAATGTTTAGTAGGAATGCTCAAAAAAAATGTTTAGTAGGAAACTTTTGATTCACCCGGCTGAAAAGAGACGCTGAGTTCGGGACGCACTTGGAAGTCCACCAAGCTACAAGATCCAAATCCGCCGTTGTCATGCACTCCATCTTGCCCCACCTGAGCAACACTGCGGCCCATACCCGATGAATCACCACACCTGCAAGGTCTCCTAGTGCTGATCACACAACAGGCAAACGGTCGGGTGAGGAATTCCATGCTGATGCGGACAGTTAGCTATCGAGCAACGGTTGCGGGCCAAAAGCCAAGCAAAAAAAAGCAGCACATATATAGGCTGAGCACAGGAGCATCAAAGCCAAGGCGATCACAGGCCAGAAGCCAATCAAAAAGCGGCATATATATAGGCCGAGCACGGGAGCACCAGATCCACAACGCCCCGTCAGGCTCCGACGACCAAATGATGGAGGAGCGCTGCTACACACACGATAGTGCACAACCGATTCATAGACGATCCTATTGATCTGACCATACATGCATGTGATAAAATGAAGCACATCCGCTGGATGAAGCATCGTCCATTGATCGGCCAGTCAGTATCGGCTGCACAGTACTTCCGATGATGGAGTTAGGCACCCCATGAACCTGCTCGCATTGGGGAATTTGAGGATTTGCCACAGGTTTCTTTGCACTTTGAGAATTTGCCCCTGTTTTCTTTCTCATCAATTATTTGCCACAACTTTTCCAGATTCTTGACGATTTGCCCCTTATGCATAGTTTAAAATTACACGATAAAATCTTTGACCAAACTAGCCCTTAGCCCAAATTAGGCAGCTCGCGTTCAGCTGTTCCCGTTTACCTTGTCTGTTAGTGCGTACCCCATTGCTCGCCATGACTTGCAGTCGTGTCTTGCCGTTGGGATGCCTTATTGTGATCCTACTAGTTGTGCTACTCCTCTCCTCATGCTGTCCAGCAGATGTGAATTGGGGACCCGATCTTTCGATGAGAGAGGATAACTACGATTTTTGTGGGACTTGACCCTCACGATCCGGCTACCAACCGTACAGAAAGAACCGTACACGACTGATATCCAATGCAATTGCTGAGCCAACTCCACGGCTTTATTGACCGAGCCAACGGTGCGATCGATCTATTCACGAAGGATTTTTCCTGCAAGCAAATCGAAGAACATGCAGTAAAATAATAGCCAAACAATCTGAAATTGCGAATATGCTAGATGGAATAATCTTACAAGATGGGGTTTCGATAGAATATCTTAACAGTCGCACTAGCCGCTATAAGCAAAGACAAATAAAAATAGTAATAGTTAAACTTCTCTAAATAAAATCCGAGTCTAAACCCTAACCTAGACTGACTATTTATTATATATTTATTAAAGGTGAATGTACAGCGAGTCTGTCCGTCGTACCACAGGAGGCTGGGCCATACGAGGACCTGACGCTGTACGGCGGTTGCGGTAGCTTTGTTTGACCTATCGTGGTGCAAGTCTTTGGCCTCTTGTTAATTTAGCCAAAACAAAATTGTCTGATTTTTTTTTTCACAGAAAAACTTTTAATTTATTCATCTTCAATCATGGTAGTACAACGAATACTAGAAATAATAAAAATTACATCCAGATCCGTAGACCACCTAGCGACGACTATAAACAAGCGAGCCGAAGGCACGCTGCTGTCATCGCCATTCCCTCACCGGAGCCGAGCAAACTTTGTTGTAGTAGACAGTCGGAAAGTCGTCGTGCTAAAATCTCATAGAACCAATGCACCATAACAGCAACCGCCGCGGATGAAGAGGATAGATTAAAAGGATCCAACCTGAAGACACACGAACGAAAATGAACGACGAACATATCCGAGCAAATCCACCAAAGACAGATCCGCCAGAGACACACCTCCACACGCCCACCGATGATGCTACACGCATCACCGGAACGGGGACTAGATGGGGAGACCTTTATTCCATCTCCAGGGAACCGCCGACATCTCGCCTTCCTGAGCAGGACAAACCCTAACAAAGCTCGAAAAAAGATATAAAAACGGAGCCCTCCCACCGGCAAGGGCCGAGATCCACTCCGCCTTCATGACCCTAAGGCCACCGGAGATGGGACGGACCAGCGCCGACGGCGGCCGCTGGGTACGGTTCCTTCAACCACAAAAAATTGTGTGACTCTTGTGACGTTGGCTTTTTGCTCTTCATGCATGATGGATGAGATGGATGGTTCGGTGGTGGAGTCCATGCATGCAAGGATTGCTGCTTTTCTTTAATTGTTTTTCTGATTCCTTTATTCCGGAGTATAAATAAATCTAAATATAAGTGTAGTATCATATTCTCGTCAGTTAAATCATATGTATAAATAAGCGATTGTACCTGGTTATTAATTTATCCTGTAATATTTTTAGACGTTTTTATGATAGCTATGTCCACATCAGAAGCTGCTCGCCTCGTGCCTCCTCTCGACCGTCGTTTTGCTGTGCTGCTGCCTCCGCGTATCTCCTACACGGACGTGGGTCGTTGCCGTGCTCTTCCACCTTGCGCTCCTCCACGACCGCCTCCAGTCGCATCATGGGCCCAACCCCTCCACGTCGACCATACGAGACCCCGCTCGAGGACCTTCACTGGCAGGTCTAGAACAAGCAGTACGATGTTGATGACCTGAAAGAAATGCCGAGGTCACGACCTCAACCAGTAGCTCGCTGGGCACACGCATCCGTTGTCCTCCACCAATACGCTGCTAGCAAATTCTCCTCCCTCCTCCCGCCATGCTTGGAGGTGGCCATCCTGGAGGTGAGCACCAGACATCGTGCATCCGTGGACATCGGGGAGTTCATGCGTGTCTAGCTCAGTTCAAAGATGTCCAGTGGTCGCATACGCATTGTGGCTGGGTCACGGGACAAATACGAACAAGTGGAGCCGGCTGTGCTGCCGTGTAGCTTATGTCCGCCACACATGCCGATTTTTGGGCGAGGTGAGGACAAGGGAACAAGAACGACACTAGGCCTCACCAGGGGCATGTTGGACATTTTGTTGTAGGTCCGTATTGGCAGCAACAACAGGGCAAATCATCAAGAATCCGGGAAAGATGGCAACTAATTGATGTCAGGCAAAGCGGGGCCAAATCCTCAAAGAGCAACACACATGTAGCAAATTCTCAAATCCCCTGCTCGCGTTTCCCTAAGGGCGAGAAACTCACCAATCTTCACCACATGAAAAAAGAAAATAAACTCCAGAAAAAAACTTTATAAAGATGCATTTCATCACACCCTCGGCAGCTTATGAATGACAACAATACATAGGGACCCGGGGTAATCGGTTCATTCATCTCATATGCGTATGATATAATAATAATCAAGATCAATAAATTCCTTCCTACATCTTACATGCACACAAAGGCTGGCCATATATGCATATAATTGCCGAATGAAGTGAAGCATCTTTCAGATGAAAAGAAAGCAAGTAAGCACCAAACTCATCTTGTGAGAACATAATCTTCCACGGTCCGGCGCTTTCTACCCATTTGGCCTAAGTCCCTGCATGGATATGTACATATAAGTTGCAATATTTTTTACGGTTAATAAAAATACTAAAGTAAATTAGGAGTGGACGCCTGGTAAGCAACAAAAAGAAAAATAGAGTGAAACCCAGCTCACCGGTTAACAGCACAATGGCAGACACCATACATATGGTTTATGAGGTGAATAGTGCTACAAGTACAGGACATATTACCATCATATTTGAGGCATCGCTCCGCTCTTGGTGACCAACTGCTTCTGTTGAGGTGATATTGTCCAAGAGTTTTGTCACTTAGAGGATGACTTCGTATGATGGTGTCACCCGTAATGGTAGGCATTGCCTTGATACTGACACTCAGACTCCATCCGATGGCACATCGACTCCTTTCGAAACCCATCAGGAGAGCATTGTCCCCAATGCTTGTTAGCGGGATAATTCTTCCTAGGATAAGATCCGCTATTCTATAGACTCCCATGAAAGCGACCGGCAGGATCTCCGAGTCATGTTCTACTAATCCGAAAGGGTTGCAGATCAGACTCGCGCATACCGGGATAATCTTCAATGACGGAAACCAAGACGAGCTGAACCCCGACATCTCCTCACGAAGTGGGTCGATCCGAAGAATCTGTACTTCACCGGTAGATATGAACTTCCGCACCATGTAAAGTTTTCCCTGGGATGAGATGATGGACTCATATAGGGACGATATGTTGGTCTCATCTGTGGAGAAACTCCAAGATGAGAAACTCCATTGCTTATCCTTGGTGGTAGCGAAGAGTACGCGACGCGTACGTGAAAGCACCATCATCATCATGGCGACTCCCTTGGCACTAATGCTCAAGGAGGCAGTCGCGCTGCCAGGCAACAAATAATAATGCATGCCACTTGGATTCGATCCCAAGGTTATTGTGTGATACGTGATAGGTGGGAACCTTGCAACGTCCCCCGTGAAGGGGTGAAGGAGGCAGATACTGTTGTGTTGGTCACCGTATTGCCAGTATTGCCGCTGCAGAAGGAGAAGACCTTCGACCGGACAG